TAATTAATAGTCATTTAGAGCATTTTTTCATATGGCTACTGATAGATTTGATTACTTCATCTGAAAATCACCTGTTCATATCATTTGACCATTTAAAAATTAAGAAATATCTCTCATTTCTATAAATTTTACTCAGTTCTCCATATATTTGAGAGATTAGGTCTTTATCAGAAAAACTTGCTGCAAAATTTTTTCTGTCCATTCTCAAAAGTATTTTGGTTCTGACTACACCTCCGCCAATCTGCCCTGACTTTTACCAGCACCCCACTGTCTCCTATCCCCTTTTACTCCTGCTTTTCTGTATGGTAAGATAGATTTCTATACCTAACAATAGTGTATATTATTCTCTCTTTGAGCCAATTCTGATGAAAGTAAAGTTCAAGCTCTCCCTCCCTCCATCTTCCTCATCTTCTACTTCACTGTAAAAGCTCTTTGGTACCTCTTTCATGTCAGATAATTTACCCTATTCTCCCTCTTCATTTTCCCTTCTCCCAGTATATTTTCCTTTCTCATCTCTTAATTATATACTTTTTAGATAACCATCCTGTCATATTCAACTCACACTTGTGCCCTCTGTCTATATATACTCCTTTTACTTTCTATTTTATCCTCTGGTTCTAGAATATCAGGAAAGTTTTCCTTGATAATTTTTTGCAAGATGATGTCTACAGTCTTTTTTTGATCATGGCTTTCAGGTAGTCCAATAATTTTTAAATAATCTCTCCTGGATCTATTTCCCAGGTCAGTTGCTTTTCCAATGAGGTATTTCACATTGTCTTTTGTTTTTATTCTTTTGGTTTTGTTTTATTGTTTCTTGATTTCTCATAAAGTCATTAGCTTCCATTTGCTCCATTCTAACTTTTAAGGAATTATTTTCTTCAGGGAGCTTTTGTACCTCCTTTTCCATTTGGCCAGTTCTGCTTTTTAAGGCATTCTTCTCCTTATTGACTTTTTGGACTTCTTTTACTATTTGGTCTAGTCTGTTTTTAAAAGTGTTATTTTCTTCAATATTCTTTGTATCTCCATTACCAAGCTGTTGGCTCATTTTTCATATCCTTCTCATTTCTTTCCCCAAATTTCCCTCTACACTTTTTACTTGATTTTCAAAATCCTTTTTGAGCTCTTCCATGGCCTGAGACCAATTCATATTTTTCTTGGAGGCTTTGGATGTAGGAGCTTTGACTTTATTGTCTTCTTTTGTATGTGCGTTTTGATCTTCCCTGTCACCATAGTAACTTTCTATAGTCAGAGTTTTTCTCCATTGTTTGCTCATTTCCCCAACTTATCAGTTGGCTTTTAAGTCTTTGTTAAAGTAGGGCTCTGCTTCCAGGGTGGAGGGTGCACTGTCCCAAGCTTCAGGGGTTTGGTTCAGTTGTTTTCAGAGATACTTGTAGGAACCTGTAAGTTTTCGGTTCTTCCAAGGTGGTATGATCTAAGGAGAGGTGTTTTCTACTCTCCTTGCCTGTGCTCTGGTCTGTGAGCACCCCCAAGAACTCTCTTCTGCCCTAGAACTGTGAGGAGAGTCACCCCTCCCCTGTGGCCTCAAGCTCTGCTATGTTAGCGCTCATACTCGCCCTGGGACTGCTACCCAGGACTGTGACTTGGATCTGAGTGTGGGCAAAACAACAGAGTCCTGCCTCAGTGCTGACAAAAAAGACCCCTGCCATCTCCTCTGACCAGTTGTTTGATTCCCGTACTCTCTGGGCTGAGAGCTCTGGAAGCAGCCTCTCCTTCTGCTGCTGCGGATTCAGTTGCCCAAGGCCCACTCCTGGTTTGCCGGGGCCAGGGCTGTTCTGGCATGCACTCTCAGTCAGGTACGGCAGACCCTTCCTGCTGATCTTCAGTTGCTGAATCACCGGCAGGAGTGGCTGTTTTCCAGACCTCTTGGACCACGGACACCAAAGAAAATTAGAGGCCTGCTCCTAGTTGACTGGAGCCCAGTCTGCGCTGGCACGGCATGTGCTCCTCTCTCACCCTGCTGCAACAGACTCCAAGTTGTTTTAAACTGGAAATTTGTTTCGTTCCGTCTTTTTGTGGGTTCTGCTGCTCTATAATTTGTTTAGAATCGTTTTTAAAAGGTATTTGGAGGGGTTTGGGAGAGAGCTCAGGCAAGTCCTTGCCTTTGCTCTGCTATCTTGGTTCCGCCTCCCCGCTACGCCTTTCTTAATGTAGCTTGAGTTTACATTAGCTTTCTTGGATGCTGTATCGCCCTGTTGAACTAAATTGACCTTCAAGTTTCCCAAAAACCCACTCCCTTTCAGGTAACTTGCACTTGAAAGCATATTGTGAAGTTAAATTTTCAAACTCAATACATGTGTCCCACTAAATTTCTTCATATTATTAATGGCCCAGTGCGCTAGCCTGTCAGTATCTTTCTGAACAATGATTCGCACTCCCTTGGCATCATCCTATACGTCTTATTCCTTTCATTGTTAAGTACCTACAAGTAATAGTCTGCATTCACTGCCTCTACTCCCTCAGCTCTTTCATGGTCTGATTCCTACTACTCCATGGAAACTGCTTTTGCAAAGGTCACAAATGGCTTCTTCATTCTTAAAACATTTCTTAATTCTCATTCTCCTTGACCTTTCTGGATCTGCTGAGCACTTTATTCCTCCTGGATACTCCATATTCCCCTGGCTTTCATGACCCTGCTCTCACCCCATTCTCCTACCTGCCTGCCTAGTTCTTCTTGGTCTTCTTCCCTAGTTCATTGTCTTCTTTCTACTTCATAAATATCCTAGGCCATGGTCCTTTTTCTTTATATTCTTTTTTTTGATCATCCTATGTTCTTTTATAGATTTATCATCTCCAAATAAATGACTTCTAAATCCGCATTTGTAGTCCAAATTTTATCACAGAACTTTATAATTCTGCATTTTCAATCTCCCTTTGGACATTTCCACTTGGATATCTAGCTATACTTCCAAGTTCTATAGTCTAAAACTAAAACCACCCTCTACCACAAAACTTACCTTTCCTTCCAACTTTCCTATTTTGTTTTATAGTAGCGCCATGCTCCTAGGAACCCAGATTGAAAAACTTCAGAGTCATTCTTGATGGTTCCCCTTTCCCATCCCATCCATTTTGTTGATAAGTGTTACTTATTATCCCACAGTATATCTCAAATCTATGTTCTCCTATCTGCTTATGTTACTATCACTTTAGTTCAGGCCCTCATCACCTCCTAGGTCTATTGTAATAGCCTTCAAACTTGTCTCCTTGCTTCCTCTCTGGTGTATCCTCCTTCTAATCCTTCACATGGCTGCCAAAATTACATTCTTCAGGTGTAAGTCTGACCAAGTTTTATACCTATTTAACAATATTCAGTAGCTCCTTGTTGCCTATAAGTTAAAATTCCCAGCATTTAGACATTCCTTCGTATATTCTACCTTCCAGTCAAACTAAATAACAACAACCAACTAACCAAACCAACAACTAGCATTTATATATCACTGTAAGATTTGCAAAGCATTTTATAAATATTATTTCATTTTATCCTCATTATAACCCTGGGAATTAAGTACTATTTTTCTCTTAATTTTACAGATGAATAAACTGAGGCTGAAAGGGTTTAAGGGACTTGCCCAGGGTCACACAATTAGAAAGTGACTGAGGCCAGAATTGAACTTAGGTCTTCCAGACTCCAGATCCTTTTTTTCTTTACAATGAGCCACCCACATGCCTGTACTAATAGCTCTTTCCTCAATTTAACATGGCTTGGTGAATTCATGCATAGGCTATGTCCCATACCCGGAAGATTCTTGATTTTCATCTCTGCCTTTCAAAACCTTTCTCTTTATTCAAAGCTTAGCCTGTGAGCCATCTCCTCCTCAAAGCCTTTCATGAGCCTTGTAGCCAAAAGTATTTTCTCTCCCCTTGAATTCTCCTAGAGAACTTTGTTTGGTTCTCCTTTTTGCTCTAACCATACTTGTATTGTACTTATCTGTGTATAATTGTGTATTTTCTGTTTGAATGTAAATTTCTTGAGATCAGGAACTATGTCACTTTTTATCTTCATCCATGCAGAGAGCCTTAATCTTTGTTGAAATGAAATTAAATTCCACAAATTAAGTCTACCTTGATAAGATAGTTAACAGTCTCTCCTGATACTATTTTGGACAAGAAGGAGAGGTGTGGTATAAATGATAATATAGTTATGTGAATTCAGAATTGGTTTAATTGCCAGACCCAGATTACTGATAAATAGAACCATGTCAACTTGGAACCTCTAGTGAAGTATCCTAGGAATCTGTCATTGTCCCTTTTTACTTCAATAATTTATCAGTGACTTGGATGAAGGCACAGGTGACATACTTACCAAGTTACAGATGATACAAAGTTTGGACAGATAATTAACATGCTGTGCAAAAAGTATTATGATCCAAAATATTTTGACAAATTAAAACGAATCTAACAAGACAAAATTTAATAAGGACAAATATAGTACACTTAGGTTTAAAGAATCAGTTCCACAAATACAGGATGGGGGAATCATGAAATTGGTGATTGATATCTGGGATATTTTGTGGACTACAAACTCAATGTGAATCAATTATGTGACATGGCAGCCTAAAAAAAGTTAAGCAGATCTTCAGCATTATCTTACAGAATGGGTAAAGTGGTAATGCTCCTGTTCTCTATACTGAGCAGAAAACATCTCTGGTCATACATCTGACATCCTTTTCCTTGTCCATACAGGCAGCTTTTCCAGCTTGCTAATGCCCTCCCGCTATAACCTTCAATAATTCAAGTCACTTTCACTCCACAACGATGTATCAAAGTAAAACTTTAGGAGACATGAATAGATATCGTATTTGCATATATGTGTACATTATATGTAAAATATATAACAATGTTTACATTGACTTATCTATGTAAATTAAACAAAATAATGATGCATCATCAATTACAATATAGTTTAAAACTTTCCAGTTTCATAGACAAATATTTTTCATTATGGTTGATGTCAGCTTTTATTTTTAATTTTTTTCCCCTAGACTTACTTGCAATGTCTTCAGGTCACAGATCTAAAAATTGGGGCATCATAATTGGCTTCTCCGTAGCAGTTATTTTTGCAGTAGCAATACTTTTAGCAATAATATTTTGTCACCAAGGAACGAAATGTATACTTCAGGATGCATCAAGTGATAAGTAACTTTACTTTTTAATTGAAAATTTATTAAATATTACTAACACATTTAATATACAAATTACTTATATTAGTCACTGTTACTAATAGAGAACTATGCTTTTTTTTGTAGTAACATCTCAGCTGAGATTGGTTTCTTTCACTTTGAGTGGAGGATAAGTTAACAAGCAATTATGAAACATTTCAGTATTTTTATCCTGATTCCCTTCTGACTTTTGTCTCTAGTAAAGTTGTGTGACACAAAATTCCTTCCCATTCATAACTGATATGGTTGCCTGGGTTCTCAAAAACAGTGCCAAGAGATATAAGCTCTAGCAGATTCTCCCATGCTAGAAATGCTTTGAGTATAATCTTGGTAGATTATGTTTCCTTTCAGATGATAAACTTAGCTAGCTACAGAAAGGTTCATCTCCAGTAGGCTGGCCAGTAAATAGCAAAAGACTGAAGAGTAGTGAGAATGGGGATGACAGAGGGAGCAATTTATTGGAGAACACCGGATGGGATGAGACCAAGGATGCATGTAGAATGGTTTGTTCCTGATGCAAGACAGGAATGGAAGAAATAGTGGGGGATTCTATTTGAGCGACATGAGATAAGGAGGAATGGAGATGGGGGAGCTTGTGGCAAATGGCCTCAAATTTTTTATAAAATATGAGGTGAATCCACAGTTGAGAGGGTGAGCGAATGCTGTGTGAAGCCTGAGGAGGATAGCTGTTACTTTGAGTGGAATAGTGAATTAATTAAGAAGGTGTAAAAGGATTGCCTTTTTCTGCAATGAAGGCCTAGTTGAGATTATGTAACATAAATCTGGAGTGGACCTAATTAGCAATTTTCATGATTTTTTTCTCTAATTCCATTCAGTAGTATATAAAAAGGAACAAAGTCAGTGGATGGTAGGAGCAATCCAAGTTTGGGCACAATGAGTGATAGGAAAAGAGAGAAGGGGACTTGAGTGTAGATCATACTGTAGCATTGATCTGGCTCACTGGGGGATGATATAGGGAAGGGAGTTATAGTCAATGCAGGGTTAATGGCCTGGAGAAGAACTGAGGGGAGGGGAGGTCACTGTGAAGAAGGAAAACGGGGTAGTGGTCATAAGGCAGAGGGAAAGATGGAATGACAGAAGGCTATGATCACACAAAGGAAATTCAGAGTTCTTGAACATGGAAGTATAACCCTTTTGGGTGATTGTAAAATCACGGGTTTTATCGTTTCTGTGTGCAACTGAAATGGAGTGGAAGAATAGGTCATGGGAAATGAGTAGACTGAGGAATTGGGAAGTTGAAGTGTTTGAGAGAGAATCAATGTGTATGCTGAAGTCCCCTAGTATATGAGCAAGAGTTTGTGTAGAGAGAAGGACTGTTATCCAGGTACTAAACCCACTGAGAAAAAAGAGTATCCTGGATGGGGGCAGGTGGTCAATAGATAACAGCTATCAGAATTTTGGTGGAGTGATAAATTTGTATTGAATGAACCTCAGAGGAAGAGGAATTTCTGAGTGGTGGTGATAAAGGGAGAATCTGGAAGTGGTCATTGAGACCGAGGAGTATTATGGCTCTTCTACCATGACCAGAAAGTCAAAGGGCATATATGAGTGAAAGTATAACCAGTGTTGGAAAGGGTAACCAGAGTTCTATGTCATTCAGGAGGGAGCCAGGCCCTAGTGAAAACCAAAAGATAAATTAGAGTTGACTGAGTACAAGAGTAACTAGGTTAGATCTGTGCTTAAGGAAAATCACTTTTGGCAGTGATGTGGAGAATGGATTAAAGCAGGAATTTACTCAAGTTAAGGAGACCAATTAGTAGGGCCTTGTTAAAAAAAATCTCCATGAGAGATGTTAAGAGGCTGAACTTAGATGGTAGCTGAGTAGAGAGGAGGGGTCTGATTTCTAGAGGTATGAAGGTAAAAATGGTAAGATCTGATAACTGATTGGACATGTGGCATGCAGGAGAGTCAGAATTGAGGCTGTTTAACACTGAGATTACTGATTTGGGAACCTGGAAGAATTGTGATGCCTTTGACAGAAATAGGGACAGTTGGAAAAGAGGTAGGAATAGCCCTTACCTCCCAAGATTGTTGTGAGGATCAAATGAGATAAAAATTGTAAAGCCTTTACCACAGTGCCTGGCACTTAATAAATGCTTGTTCTTTTTCTTCCCTTCCTCTTGTATAAGATTTACATTCTTATACAATTATGCAATATTAGTGCCTAAGAATAAGGAGGCCTGTCTGTGTACATTAGCAGACTGTGATAGAAGTTTTCACTTCAGAAAGGAGGAACATATATCAAGCCCTTTTCTAGCAAAAACAGTTCTTATGGTGAGAATGCAAATGTCCCAAAGGGAAAAAAAATCAGTTGGTATAGGGCCAGGTCAAGCATCATTACTCCAAATGTCACTGAGAGATTTAATAGACTCATATACCACACAGCACACCATTCAGACTCTTAGACATGATCTACACCAAGTCACATATAATCATGGCTGGAAAAATCCTCTCCCTTGTTGCCTCCCCTACCTTTCTCTATGTCCAAAATTTTTGTTGAAGTGAAATTTCTGAATTTAAACCCTAATGAAACTATGTAGAAGGTAGAATAATAAGAAAAAAAGTTTACATGATACTAAATTTAAATAGAAAGTGTGATGTAACTGGAATAAATTTTATGTTCCACAATTAAGAGATGACAATAGAAAGATTCAGGTCTAAAGAAGGTAATGAAAGGTTAAATAATAACTTCAGGCACAAATTTAAGATCTATTGCTAGAGGTGGACGTAATAAATCCAATTTTGGTTTACCCTCTTTTTCCTCTTTTGGAGGAACCTTGAAGTAAACCATTTTTCATAGATGAGTGAAAGGAGATTCAAATAGCTGAATATACCTAAGCAACGAAAGCCCAGAGGCATCCAGAGGCATCCCATTATTCTCAGGGAGACAGGGAAAATTTTCCTTAGTGAGATGTTAATTGGAAAAGTGGTATTTCTTTTTCTTTTCCTTTATTTTAAATACTTAAAATTTTTTCTCTTTTACATATGAAGATCATTTGCAGAAGACAATTATTCAATATAAGCCAGGCACAATCCAAAAATTTAAGACATGAAGGTGAGTTTTGGATGTTTTGCATTGTAACAGAAAACACTTAGAAGAGTTATGAGTTCTTTATTTAAAGTACATTTACCTCTGCAAGTCAATTCTTGCATTACTCTCTTAGATGCAACCCATTGTTGCTTATGGCTCCAAAGAATAAAATGTTTAAAGTCTATTCAGTACAAGTTATTCCTCAATTGATAAATGGTCAAAAGATATAAACAGACAGTTTTCAGAGGAAGAAATTAAAGCTATCTATAGTCATATGAAAAGATGCTCTAAATCACTATTGATTAGAGAAATATGAATCAAAACAACTCTGAGGTACCAGATCACAATATCACATTGGCTAACATGACAAAACAGGAAAAGGATAAATGTTGGCAAAGATGTGGGGAAATTGGACACTAATGCATTGTTGTTCGAGTTGTGAACTGATCCAACCATTCTGGAGAGCAATTTGGAACTTTGCCCAAAGGGCTATAAAACTGTACATATCCTTTGATCCACCAATAGCCCTTCTAGGGCTGTATCCCAAAGAGATCATAAAAATGGGAAAAGGACCCACATGTACAAAAATATTTATAGCAGCTCTTTTTGTGGGGGCAAAGAATTGAAAATTGAGGGGATGCCTATCGATTGGGGAATTGTGGTATATGAATGTAATGGAATACTATTGTGCTATAAGAAATGATGAGCAAGAGGACTTCAGAAAAACTTGGAAACACTTACATGGACTAATGCACAGTGAAGTGAACAGAACCAGGAGAACATTGTACACAGTTAACAGCCACGTTGTGCTAACTAACGTTGATAGATTTAGCTCTTCTCAGCAATGTAAGGATCTAAGACATCTCCAGAAGTCTCATAATGGAAAATGCTATCCATATCCCACATCCAGAGAAAGAACTATGGAGTCTGAACACAGATCAAAGCATACTGTTTGACATCTTTTTTTTCTTCTGTTGTTTTGTTTGTTTCTTCTTTCTCATGGTTCCTCCCATTGGTTCTAATACTTCTTTACAACACAACTAATGTGAAAATAAAAAAAGTCTATTCAGGAGACTTCTGGTTCATACAACCAGCAAGGTGGTAGATTAGACATTTTCTTTAAACTACTCCAGCCCTTCGATCCCATGTCTTCCCTCCCCCCATCAAAAAAAATTGCATGCCAGATATAGAATAATTATAGTCAGATTAACAGAATATGGAAATCGAGACAAGATAAAAACATCCTTTATAAAGTAACACCGGAGAATGCTAATCCTTAGAACGCTCCCTACGCATACTCACAATAGTGGGATGTATGGGGTGTTTAGGGAGGACCAGCACCTCTGGTGTGAGGGGTTTGCTGAGCCCTTTGCAGGGCTGCTCATCCACCTTTGGTGTCCGTGTGGGCACTCAACTCTCACCTGTGGCTCCAAGAAGCTGTAGCGTGTGCAGCAGGCACAAACCAGTAAACTTTCTCAGCAGATGGGCTAAACCAGGTTGAGAGCGACTGACAGGCTTCAAACCCATTAGGGGGACACGTGAAGACTTCCCTCGGCAGAATGAGTGTATGAGAACAATTGTTCCAGTGGCCGTGAAGGCGGCTGGAGCAGGTGCCATGGAGCGCGTAGAACTCGGTTGGACATCAAAGACACCAAGGTCGTCCTGTGTCATGGCATTGTGGGCCACCACTAGTAGTCTTGACTTTTGTCTTGCCACTAGACTTTGATGACTGTGGAGGAGAGAGTGAAAGTAGTCAGCTTTGTGCAATGCTGCTTCACTTAAATCTGATTCATGCAGGAGTCATCATCACCCTGTGATGTCACTGGTTCTCTTTGAAGATGAAGTGCAAACAGCAACAACTCACACATAACACAAGCCAACTTATGGGATGGTTTAGTACTTGACTCTGGAAGAGGGATGACCCCTCCCAATAGCCCTGCCCCCTCTATTCTGTAAGAAGAAGCAAATGTTGATACTAGCCAGTCAAATCAAGGGAAAAAAAGGCAGGAGGGACATTGAGCGGGTTAAAAATGTGCTGCTTCCAGACTTAGCGACTGACCTTGGAATAGTGATTTAATACAAGCATCTTTGTCTTCCCTTCACATTACCAAAAGTATCATATACTGATTCTTCCAAGCCACATGGAGAAAACAAGGTGAAAGGAAGAAGGAAGAAGCTAGGGTACCAGCATGAGTGACTGATATGGGGCTAAAGGCAGGTGATGGCGCAGGAGATAGAACACTGGGCCTGGAGTTAGGAAGACCCTAGTTCAAATACCATGTTATATACTTACTAGCTGTGTGACCCTGGTCAAGTAACCTAACTTCTGTTTGCCTCAGTTTCTTCAACAGTAAAATAAGGATATTAATGGCACCTACCTCCCAGCATTACTGTGAGAATCAAAAGAGATAACATATGTAAAATATCTAAGAACTTAACACAGTGCCTGGTACCTTGTATGCACTTTAGAAATACTTATTCCCTTCCCTCTCTAAAGGAAAGGAGATTGAAATCTAATTAGGATCGGTCCTATTCCCCTATAGGATATTTGTACCAGCTATCCAAGCTAATAAAGTGTATATCCCCATAGCTGAGGGTACTGAGGCAGTCCTAGATTACAGGCAGTCCTATAATCTAGCCTCAGGGGTCTACCTACCAGTAAAGGGGAAGAGGCCAGAGAAGAAGCAATGGGGGAATGCAAAAAATTGTTGAAACCCCAAAGACATCAAGAGAAAAGGTAAGAATTGGACCTGTGATATCACTGGTATAGGTATCTCCTGGGTGAAGAAATGCCCTCTACCAATGCAGGTTAAGACCTGCAAACAGAGGAAGAGAGCAAGAGGGAGAGAGAAATAGAGATAGAGAGACAGAGAGACAAAGACAGAGAGGGAGAGAGACAGAGGCAGAGAAAGAGAGAGAGAGAGAGGGCAAGAAAGGAGGAAGAGGAGAAGGGGATTTTAGATATAGAACATTATTTATAGTGTTGGATTTGATTGATGGTCGGTTAATTTTGCCAAGCATTTTTTAACTTACATTTCCTTTGTTAGGAGGGATAGTTCTCTGGGAGTGGAAGTGGTGGGGAGAAAGATATATCGGGCAATACAGGTGCAGTAAAAGTAAAAAACAAAAGATTTCAATATGTCCTTAAGTCAATATAATTAAGAAGAAAGTGTTTTTTGAATTCCAGTTATTACTTTGATATGTGATACAAAATTATTCTTGAAAAAAATTATAATGCACTAGGTAAGACTAGGATAGTGAACTTTTTGTTTTGTTATGTGAACATAAACTATGAAGCCAATTCCAGCTCATTTCATAGATGTTTAAATATAGAAATATAAAATTTGATTTTTGATGGCAGTACACTTACATAGGTACAACTTGGGAAGTTTTAAAATTTGAACACATTTTCCTTTCACATAAACTAAAACACTGAAATGATAAACTTGTAAAAAAAAATTCCAGTTTCAAGAAGGTAAAGCTCAGGGGAGACCTGTGTCTGAACTGTGGCTCTTATATTCACCATTGTTGGACCCTGACAAATGATTTAATGTCTCTTAGATTCCATTTCCTCACAGAGTTACTGTTAGGAAAGTGCTTGGTACATCCTAATATGTATGTAAATGTGAGTTATTAATATCCGTGATTTATTTCTTCATGATAAAGATTTTCATTTGGATGATATCCACTTGTATCACTTCTTTCATCATGTGAAATCTCAGCATTTCAGGTTACAGCTAATTGTAATTGCGTGACCTTGATTGGTTGGAAAAAATCTAGTTCAGGTTGTTTTATTTTGTTCTTGTATGTGTCAGTTATTCTCAATGATTTTAATGTCATTCTGACTTCCCGGTTGTCTCCTCTACAGGTTTGAGAGCAGAAGACTCGGGAACCACCGACAGCCTGGCCAGGGCGAGGTGCATGCAAGTGACAGAAGTGCTCCAGGGTGTCTTTGTATCTTGGCCAATGCAAGGATTGTTTGTTTATGTGAAATAAAATGTGTGTGCATGTATATTTTATGTGCCTTTGGTAGACTGGAGAGGATTTAGAAAGTTGGGGAAGAGCATTATGAAGGAATAGCTTTGTGTTTAACAAAATGTGTCCTTTTGACTCCTATTTCTGTGGTTCTTGCCGCTCTTGTAAAGACTTTTTATGGAAGTAAGTGCGGAGTTTGGAGTCAAAGAGTGTGGGTTCAGAACCCAGCTCTGCCACCTTCAGCCTGTGTGACCTTGGGCAAGTCACTTTATCTCTGTGTCTGAATTTCCTCATCTGTACAATGAAAGGGTTAGACTAGATAACCGCTAAGATCCCTTTCACGTTTATATAAGATTGTAAGATTAAAGCCTCTTCATTTTACAGAAACCAAGGCAAAGAGAGGCAAAGTATCTTGCCCAAGGTCACATAGGTAGGAGGAGACTTCAGCAGGAAGTCTTCAGGTGGTCTTGAAATTAGGTGGCACAGGGTATAGAGCACTGGGCTTGGAATCATCAAGACTCAGCTTCATGAATTTAAATCTGGCCTCAGACACTCACTAGCTGTGTGACCCTGAACAAGTCACTTAACCCTGTTTGCCTCAGTTTCCTCACCTGTAAAATAAGCTGGAGAAGAAAATAACAAACCACTCCAGTATCTTTGCCAAGAAAACCCCAAAATGCGGTCATGGAGAGAAGGACACAACTGAAATGACTAAACAGTAACCACAACAAAGCTCTTCGCTTTGTCTAATTCTTTATCTACTATATGGGAAATGGAAATGCATTATCCTATAAACCCCTGAATTATACATCCTAGAATGTCTGAGAATACTGAAATGAAAGCCCACGCTCATGCTTTTCTGTCTATTAGGTCCAAGGAGTCACCTGCACCTTGATAGAATATTTGAGTTAGAGGGGAATTCAGAAATCACCCGGTCTAACCCTTACCCCAGTTATGAATTCTATCCGTCTACCCTTTCTTAGACAAATGATCATCCTTCCTCCCCTTAAATAGCTTCACTACCCAGTGATGCAGCCCAG